TCCTGCTGGTGCCGCTGCCGCTGCCGCTGCCGCTGCCGCTGCCATGGGTTTCCCCAGCACCCCCAACCTGAAGCTGAAGCTGCAGCCGCAGCTGGAGCCTCGCATCGGAACATCGCGGAGGCCGGTGCGCCTGCGCTGCGCCCTCGACTCTGAGCCTGTGGTATGTATACTGACAGTGATAATCCTATCTTGAGCTTGGAGTAGTATCTCATATTAATCTATCTCTGCCTGCACTACAATCAATACACGGACATACACACATACATACGTTCCTATCCTACTGATGCAAACCAAACCAAACATACTAACAACATAGTAAGTATCATACATATATATCCTTTATTAATTTGCTTATATATATATATATATATATATATATTATCGGTTTATTTCAGCAGTCTCCCATGACTGTTTCCATCACTGGAGCCACTGGTTTCATTGGACGCAGATTGGTTCAGAAGCTTCTATCGGGTCTGCTTGCTTCCTTCCTTTCACTCACGACTTATTATTAACTTACTTATCGCCTGCCTACAGTACTTTCCAACCAAATCTCTCTCTCTCTCCCTCTCTCATCACATACATACACATGATTCATTGCATTCAGATGATCACAAGGTTTGCGTCTTAACAAGGTCTGCCTCCAACGCTGCATCAGTTTTTCCTGGTAACAAAAGATCCAACTCAACAATCACTATTTCCTGATGCATTCACCCATGCATATACACACTACTAGTACTATTGTCAGGCGGCTAACAAATCCCATAAATGATAAATGATGTTCATTTGTCTCGTTGCTGAAACCAAATTTTTGATCCATGCATGTGCATATGACCTGATCCATCGCACGCAGCTTCCACCTATCCTGGACTCACAATAGCCGAGCAAGGGGATTGGGAGGCATGCGTCAGAGGCTCCTCTGCTGTTGTCAACCTGGCAGGCATGCACATAAGCACAAGATGGTCACCCGAGGTCCGTTCGGTTTGTTTAAATCCGCAGTCTGCACTCTGCAGTAGATAGATATATAGCTCTAACCTTTGCCATGAGTCGATGCATTTCTCTCCCTCTCTTTGTCGTCCAGCCTAGACTAGCTGCCTTCTATTTCGCAGGTTAAGCAGGAAATTAAACAGAGCCGGGTCAATGTTACATCAAAGGTACATCCCATCCTTCCCTACAATTCAAAACATGCAAGCTAATTCACTTCGTCTGGACTGCCTCAGCTAACTATTTCAACTAGTATATAATTATGGTTCCTAATTTATCTGCTGAAGGTGGTGAAGTACATCAACCATGCTGGAAATGCTGATACTCGACCATCGGTGTTTGTGAGTGCGACAGCCATTGGCTATTATGGTACGTCGTTCGTGAACTAGCCACTTGGCTTCATCTTGCTGAGGCTGATGAACTAGCATCCGTCGTTTTAATCCATTTGTAGTCGAAGAGAAACACATGCACCAATTGTTTTCGATCAATCCACTGCGTGCATACATGCTGCAGGTACCAGCGAAATCCATAGCTTTGATGAATCTAGTCCCTCGGGCAATGACTACCTAGCAGAGGTTTGGTTCATCCAGTTCCATCTTACATTGCCTACTTTCCATCACTCCTCGAGCGTCATAACGCTTTCAGTAAAAGATCATTGCTCCTAATGCATGATGCATCCATCATTTTACATGCATCTTACAACAGTCTGTGCTGCATCCCTATGACATGGGTAAAAAAGTGCAGGTGTGCAGAGAATGGGAGGCCACGGCATGCCAAGTAAACCAGGAGGATGTAAGGCTTGTGCTTCTCCGGATTGGGGTTGTTCTTGGCAAGGACGGCGGTGCTCTAGGTTGCTGTGTTTCATTTACTTCTTTTTGTCTTTTTTTTTCTCTTGTCCTTTTGTTTTCTTCCTCAAGGAGAAGGATCATTCCCATCTGCACTGCGTTATTTACCTGATTCATCTGTCCATCTGCAGCAAAGATGATCCCCCTTTTTATGATGTTTGCCGGTGGTCCTCTGGGGACGGGACGCCAGTGGTTGCTTCTCTCTCTCTCTCTCTTCTGTTACAGACTTATAGTATACGCTGGGATCCTAGTTATTCTGTTTCCAGACAGATGGATTTGATCGTTAGTACATTCAACTTCGGCATATTGTAAAAATTAATTGATTGGCTGATTGCTAGGTTTTCTTGGATTCATCTGGATGACCTGGTCAACCTCATCTATGAATCTCTAACGAACCCTACATACAAAGGTGACCTCACTTGCACTGCACATCCTCTGATCCCCTTCTCTTCTGTTACAAACTAGTCATGCTAGAAGCCATGCAAATCAAAGCAACTTATGAATTTCATGAATTGTAGGATAATGGTATGGATATCACTTGAATGCAAGATACCTTATGATGCGATATTGCAATAAATTCATATTGTGGTAGCATTCAAGTAATGCGTAGTGCTAGTTGACTTTGGAGACATGGCGAGCCTGTTCGCTGGTTGGTTTTTGGGCTGATAAGCCCGGCTGCTGCTGGTTTGTTGTGAGAGGAAAACACTGTTGGCTGGCTGATAAGCCCTGGCTGAAACCAACAAGCGAACAGGCACGGCAATATGAATACATGATACACTTTATTGCAGGATTTAGTTGACTTTGGAGACAGGGCACAACAATATGAATACATGATACACTCTATTGCAGGATTTTGTACACATCACTTGAATGCTCTTTCTGTAACGTAGCAATTGTGAACATTGAAGTTTGTAGTATTGTATTGTAGTAGTATATTGAGAGCTGCCTTACTTTCTGTTTATTAGGTGTAATCAATGGAACTGCACCTAATCCTGTGCGTTTGTCGGAGCTATGCGAACGGCTGGGGCGAATCGTCGGGCGGCCCTCTTGGTTACCTGTGCCGGAATTCGCGCTCAAAGCGGTGCTTGGAGAAGGCGCTTCTGTGGTAACACTCATCTCGTTGTCTTACATAGTGCTCATGTATCCAATGGTACTATTTCTATGTAGATCACACTTGTATGCTATTTGTGGATCAGAATAGATTACTACTTTTGGATTGTTAGTGACTCCACCCATATTAAATTAGTGCTACTTAAGTACTTAGGACTTTTTATGACATTGCATAAATTAAGAGAGAAGGGACAGCCTAGGCTTATAATGTGTAAGACTATAAAATGCGTACATGCTTTGGCTCTTGTCATAGATACAACATGTTTAACAATTAATTGCCTTGGAGTTTTTAGAAACAACACTAAGATGTTATGTAATATGTGAGTTATAACATTGGAGTAGCCTTAGGCATTTTGTTTTGTGCATTGTATCATGATGGAAGATTGCAATGTCACTTGGATTTGGATAACATTAAATATATGTGAGGAAATAACACTTAAGACAGTAATTTTTCTGTTGTGTTTATGTCTACTAAGAGTGGACCCAAAATGTGAGGACGGTTTTAATTTCTACTATTGGATATTGAGCTCAAGCTATATCCTACGGAAGAGACACAACTTCGGCACTTTCGCTCTCTTTAGCTCTTGTCATGTCATAAAAATAATCTTACATAACCTTGTTTTACTGCGATGTGAGTACGTAGACTTATAAATTCCGGTTTTAATTTGATCGCTCCAGGTGTTGGAAGGACAAAAGGTTCTTCCGGCGAAGGCAAAGGATCTGGGCTTCTCCTACAGATACCCCTATGTTGAAGACGCTCTCAAGGCCATTGCTCGAGACCTGTAGGTTGGCGATAATGGGCAACTTAATTTAATTTCTCGTTACAAGAAAATTAAATAGGACCTTTAATTTGTGACGACACGCACGCAATGTGTGTAGAGTTTACACTCCGACCCTCCGGCGTTGTTTGCATGCGCGTGTTATGTAACACTTGCTCTCTTTTTCCTTTTTTTTTTTGGCATCATCAAATGTTGTACTCGAGTACTTCTTACCCGAAATAAATGGCTATCTCGTTTCTCCATAAGTCAAGCTTTTTTAACGTCGTCTGCCATCGAAAGCACACAAAGCCGTTAAATCTTAAAATATCCGCTTTCACATAGAGTCGAACCTAAGACCTCTTTATAAAGTTTTTATAAACAAAGAGTACTTCTTAATATGAAACCGACAAGAAATAAATGAAAGCTTTTGCACTGTTTAGCACAAGATTGATCTATCTGAACCTACAGTAAACTACTGTTGCACTTGCTTGGCGTCCGATTTCGATGGATCGATGTTCCTCTCTAATGTAACACTTTGAACATGTGTCTTTTACTAATTGGTTTGGCTATATTATTCCCTCCGGTAAAAAATACTCTATCAGTTCCAAATTACAAGTCGCTTTGACTTTTTTGATACATCTATTTACTATACATCTAGATAAATAATATGTCTAGATATATAACAAAATGGATGAACAAAAAAAAAAAAAGTCAAAGCGACTTATAATTTAGAACGTAGAGAGTACTATTCATCGGAGAGACAGGTATGCTTGACGTTCGTGGGATCAACAAAATGTGAACCAAGAGCCAACAAGAGTCAGAATTTATTTGAACCAAGAGCTAGAATATATATATTATTTTTTTTGCGTTGTAATAAATTTTATTTAAACGTGCTTTTTTTTGAAAGGCATTTAAACGTGCTTTGAAGGGCTGGGGGGCAGTTACTTAGAAGTAACCACCTCGACGACATCCACCGTACCTAGCTAAAATTAGTTGGGTTTTTGGCCGTCTAAATAAAAGTGCAAAAATAGGCCCCCGGCATTGTGTTGTGCGGTTACGCAGGCGCAGGAGGCGGCCCACCATGCATACGTGCATGCCGTCCACCTCCACCTGCGTCTGCGTGCATGTATATATCATCCATGGACGGCCCCGCCGAGATTTGCTAATATTATAGCTACTAGCTTCAATCAATTCGTTGTAACAAGCAGCAAGAGGGATTACGTGCAGGATCGGATCGGATCCGAAGAGTAGCAGGTCCCGGCCAGCCGGTCGTCGAACGAAGCTGCTGCTGGCTAGTAGGTAGGGTATGACGACGACGACGACACCAATAATGATACGGAGGACGACGGCGGCGGCGGCCACGACGACGGTGTGCCTAGGCCTGCTGCTGCTTCTACTACTGGCGGCGTCGACAGCGACGGCGCATTTCACGGTCGGCGAGGTGGACGAGTACTTGACCAAGCGCACGCAGGAGTCCCGCCGCAGGAACCACGGCGGCGTCGGGATCAACGACCTCATCTCCGGTGCGGCGCGCTTCCACGCCAGCGTGGATGCACGCGCGTATGGCCGCCGCTCCGGCCTGCAGGTGCAGGAGGAGGCAGCAGCAACAGCTTCTACCGCGGTCGCGGGGGCGGGGCGTGTAACGAAAGCAGAAGCACAAGAGGCTTCAGCTGAAGGTGGCGATTAACCATCCAATTCATTCATTCATTTTCCAACGCATGCACATGCTGCCATTATTCTTATATTCTATATACGCCGATACGCGTACATACGTACTTAACCCCGATCCCATCCTTGTTGGATTAAGCATTATTGATCGATTATTATATATCTGTAAGCAAGCACAACCAGATATTTACTCTTTAATATAGAATAAGTTATTTTGTAGCTATATATATATATATATATATATATATATATATATATATATATATATATATATATATATATATATTATCAGTTGTTCTACGTTTGTTTGTATAATATAATATATGCAATGTGTTCAAGCAGTTATCACTATCTATGGCCTATATATAGGGCCCACAATGATTCAACTTGTAGAATTGTCCTAAGACAAACTATCACGAGCTCTATTCCCGATAGCAACACTACAGCACGTCCCATTACAGGAAGCGTTTACAAATGCCTCCAAAAATGGTCAAAATGCCATCAAAGATCTTTTGAGGCATTTATTAAAATTCTATCCAAAACATGGAAGTAGAAGGTCTTTTGAGACGTTTTTCTAAAATGCCTTTTAATATCAATATTTAAAGACATTTTTTGACTGCCTAAAATACTATTTAGAGGCATTCTGTACAACATCTTCAAACATTAATGGAGGCATTATTAGAAATGCCTCCAAAATCAAGCTATTCATATGGAACTGCTAGCAATATAAAATCGACACAATCCATTCGAGAATGAACCAACAAGAGCACACATTAACACTATATATACTCCAAACATTTTAATCTTGCAGACATACATAGTTACATTTGTAACCACATTGCATTGCTCCCTTTAAGAGAGATAAAAAAGCATAACATGTTCACATCATGGTTACATACATATGCAAGCTCCTGTCCTCACTTGTTAAATGCTCCTGCTTGAAACCAAACATGTCCCAATGAGTGAAGGTATATAAAGTGGTGTGCTAATGTATTACTGCGCCTTGGAGGTCATGAGGATCACCACCGTGTTACGCTGCAGACCCCACCGGAGGACAAGCTACGCCGGCGTCTTGCTGTACTTCTCAACCAAGCTCTGCAAATTATATTGTTGCCACAATGACAAGTTAACTGATCACATTGGCACCAGAACTGATAATATTGCAAAGTATCCAAACAAAATGTACTCCTGTTTGTTAAACAAGGATGATGGTTGATAGTCTAGAGCTGGTTGTAAAGGAGATTTTAAATGACAACCACCTTGATGACAGGGTCGTCGAGGCGAGACCGACCCGAACCACTCAAGGGGGTAAGCGCTGTGATGGTTGATAGTATTATTATTGTTGTAAAAAAAGTGACTTAAGTAAATCACCAAGCATGGAAAAAGTCGCAACGACTTATTATACTCCAATTCAGGATATTTCGAAACTACACTACGCTTTCAGCACCAGCAATATTCCTAGTACAAAAGGGAAGCTTGCCAATGTAATGAATCATAATACAAAGGGAAGCTTGCCAGACTAAATATCTCAAATGTCAAACTGGTGCTAACAAAACAGAGAAAATTGTTGGTTCGGTTTACCTGATTCCAATGCTGTGCACCAGTCCCATGGAAACAAGTTCTTCCATTGCATGCCATGACGGGCCTGTTCGGCTGGTATTAAAGCCGGCTGAAGCTGTTTTGTTGTGAGAGAAAAATACTGTAGATTCTAGCTGATAAGCCGACTGATAAGTTCAAGCGAACAGGCCCAAAGCACGCCATCATCACCAAGAGCACTAGAAGTTGTGCCAACTCCTACAGAAATACACATTTCTGTGAGGTACCCATTGAATCTTTCTAAATATTGTGCAAAGGGCAAGGAACTTACCTCTATGCCTAGTAGTTACTGGGAAGTGAATATGCAGCTTCTTCAAGCTATCCTTGCAGGCGTCAAGCACATGGCCATGATCTGAGTTCCACGGCTGCAATGAGAACAGATTCCAAACTTTAAATCACATGAAGATTATGGAATAGTGGGGCAAAAAAAAAACCTGCAGTAGAATACATAAGGTAGAATTCTGTAATTCCGATTACCTTGGTTGTGATGAACAAATCCTCCGATCCCTCATGACAAGTCCATTCTGAAATCTATTAGCAAACATCAGGACACTACAGCTTAAATTCGATAATGAAATGCAGAGTCCATGTTGGGCCTATCGTCGGTAACGAAATGCAGAGTCCATGTTGGTCCTATCGTATATACGCCCCAATTGGGCCGGCTGGCATTGATCTTCTCCAGAAAACAGTTGGTGGCCCATATCCGAAGCAGGCCCAAGCCAAACTAATATATGGCCCAGCGGGCATGCATCGCACAGTCTCAGATGCTGATGCTTGCTTCATCCTGTGAACCAGGCCGTCAGTGCTGTCTCTCTCTCCTCTCTCCTCTCTCTCTCTCTCTCTCTCTCTCTCTCTCTCTCAAAGCCCCACTAATCCTGTCCTGTCAGCTGGGAGTATCACAGCTGCTTAAGAAAGCGGTATATCGTTATCATGGTAGAACAGCCAACAAGAGGACTTAATTGAATCATATTTCTGGTAAGATTGAGGCACTAATATATGTATATATATTATTATACTTCAAAGTTGAATCCATATATAGGAGTAGTATGCCCCAGCAGACAGACGCTTCTGGAGTCCGGCGCAACTGTCACGGCATCTTTATCACTAATGTGAGCAAATTAAGTAAGGCATCAACAACACTAACCCAGCACCCATCCCATCCCATCCTACTAAGGCCTACTTTGGCAACAGGTGCCTATAAGCCCAGGGACAGGAACCCCGACGGGGGAATTTTTTTAAAATTTGATTCCCGCCTCTACCAGGGGGATTTCCACGTCGTGGGGTTTCTCTGTTGCCGTTTGGCAACGGGTTGCCTAGAGATCAGCCCGTTCGCTGCAGCATACAACTGCTGTTGCTACTTCTGAACCACACTGAACTGTACGATACTATAGAAGGTCTACTGTAGCTGCAAGGCATAGCTTGGTATGCAGAACCTTGGTACGTCTTAGAAAAATAAAAACAATGTCTTATAAAATCAAGAAAAAACAAAATTTTTTGAATAATATAAGAAAATCACCGCATATCAATGCCAACCACAACATTTTCATGAACATAATGCATGAAAAATCACAAGACCAAAATTATTTGGCATAGTCCAATACATAGAAAGTTTAATTCAAGTGGCAAATTCAACCTAGCTAATCCATTTGTCACCAAATCACTAATCAAATCCATCCAGATATCCAAGACATAATAAAAAAAATTATGGTTCAACTCCTTTCATAAACAGTGTTTGAGAGAAAAAAAGAACTTTTTGCATAAGCTTCTCACATAGGCAATGCAGCTAGTAAAAACAATTTTCTTCTCAAATCATGCATTTGCTTCCACACCAAGAACCCTGCATGTAAACAAGGAAAAACATTAGTAGCTAGAGACATACCTAAAGTAAACTAATCTAGTGCTGCTTGGATACATCAACTTGAACCAAGGGTAAACATGTGGCATGCCACATCAAGCAAATTACAAATGTGGAAAAGTTGTTAAGTTTTGGTGCAGCTGCAGGTTGGTCATCTAAGCTCCACAAGACCAGTCACAAAATGATGAAACAAATTCAATCAGACCTACATTGAAGGATGGCTAAGATACTTTTTTGAGAAACCAGAGTAAAAAAGATGGCACTTTTATACAGGGTAACAGCTAAACCTATCAAAATTCAACTACAAAAAAGTAAATATATTGGCATCAACCAACTAAAGAAAAAGGTTGAACTATTTCATCATGTATTAAGATATCCATAGTACTACTGCTTTTCCCTTCTATATTCCACTCTGAAAGCATTACCAGCTAAGACATACCAAAGTAAACTAATCCAGTGCCAGCTAAGCATTACCTAATCTGCTGTTTGAGCCAAATCAAGCGAACATTTTTGTTTTTCATTTTCATGAATACCACCCTATCTATCTCAGATTTGAAGGTATTCATAGCATACGCCTTCTCCACATCAGTAAGTTCCATTGCATCCACTTCATCGAGACACTTGTGCACTGAAAATTCTTGGTCTTATTTCTTCTTTTCATTGAGAGCTTCCATGGTTTTGCTTGTTTGCATCTTCTTATACTGCACAAAACCCTCAATAGCAACACAAATATGACTTTGCTTACGCTTTCTCCCACCACTCGCTCCTTGCACAGAATCTTGATTGGAAGGTGCAGATTGAGCTTCATTGCGTGCACTTAAGATGTCTAGCCCATCAAAAGTAGCAAATAGACTTGTGCTATCAGAGATGGCAGCGGGAGCAGCTGGAGCAGCAATAGGAACAAGAGGAGCAGGCTGCAAGTGCTCGGTTGATGTGAAGTTTAGATCTCCTGTAGCAACACTTCCTATACAAAAAATAGTGCACAATCATACTTCAAGTGCAGGCATACTATAACTTAAACTTGTCATATTGAGCGTCTGCAGATGGAGGAAGAAGTCCTCCACCGTTTCACCATCCTTGAACTTGAGGTTGGCGTACTCCTATTTTAGAAGCTAGGCCGTCGCCTTCTTTGTGCGGTCAGAACCGACGCGCATCGCCGTAATAGCCTCCCACGCCTCCTTAGCAAAGCTCTTCGCCCCCAATGGCTCCCTGTACTCCGCCGGTACAACAACGAGGATAGCCTCCAACGCTGACATGTCATCTTCTTCATTTTCGGTGCCCTTGTCAACAGCATTCCAGAGTCGTCGGGCTCTGAGCTTGACCTTTATGGTCACCGACCACTCTCCATAGTTTGTGCGAGTCAACATCGGCCAACTGGTGTCGCTGACCTCCCGCACCGTGCAAACAACGACCTCCAGTCGTGGCTGGGCAGCCACAACAGTGCCACTGCTGTCACCCATTTCTGAACCGTTCGTCATCGCCAGCGGTTAGTCCGGCGATAGCGCTTATACAGCTCTGATACCACTTGTTAGCCCACAGGATCACCGGCTTAGGTGAGTCGATCTCTC